GTTCCTCCCTTGGTAATAGCTTTGAATATTAACAGTCTTTAAACTGTTTTGTTATTGCCACAGTTTGTGATCAGGCAAGACCATGATTTCGGTTCTCCTCACGAACCTCATCAACGTTCATCAGTTGCCGGGTTGGCTTTGTGCTTATTTACTTTTACAAGAGCAACTTTAGTTGTACTTTGTCGTGGCGAGAACGGTACAGCCGTTCTGTCTGTTGAGCTTTGAACTGAACATAAATACCCACGTGGCGGATCGAAATTCTTGTTTTCTTATTGGCTACTGAACGTAACCAATTGCGGACTGTGTATTTCGATCCTCTTATGCTTCAAGCTAGAGGTGTGTTTTTTTGGAAAGCATTTCGTGAAAATTTAGGCACTTTCTTTCATGGAGGAGTTCGAAGACTCTTGTAAATAAATGCGCACAGAGTTTCCGTACACTCCCTCTAAAAACTGGAGTGGATACTTTCCTTGTTAGTGTAAAATGAGGTTGACAGGCCTACACGACTCTCCAGCGCGTGTTTAAAATAGCCTTTTTATAGTTTGGCTCTCACGAGTATGTCTTTGAGCGACCGCCCTCTTTTATAAGATACGAGGGGCGGTTTTTTGTAGATTTCGCTCGGTAATGGTTGTTGTTCTATTAAATGCCAGTTTTTCATGAGAATTTGCTTTAGGTTTGGCACTGATGGTTGGTATTGTGTGACAAAAGGCAAGATTAGTTGGTTTGTCTTTGGTTTCTGTTGAAGGGCTAGTTCGCCTCTGAGAGGGTTGTGTTAATAAGATCGTCTGGGTAACCCCTCTGTAGCAGATGCGCTTTGAAATTTGTAATTTTCTCTTCGAATATTAGTTTGGAAGAGTTTGTTCTGAGGAGTCGGAAGGCTTCCCCTTCAATGAAGCCTTTTTTAACACCTTGCGGGTGACAGGAAGCAAAATGTGTATACTGAAATGTCTCAGTTGGTTTGAAATGAGTACGTACATCAAGGATTGCGTGTCTTTCGAATCTTTCCCCTTTGTAGATGTAGGTGTCCAGGAATGTTGTTTCCTTATCGGAAATTTCAGCCTTAAATTTGATCGTAGGGTGATGATTGTTTGCTTGTTCAATGAAATGTTCTATTCTGTCTCTGTTTGTAGTCCAGAGCGAGAAGATGTCGTCTATGTAACGTTTCCAAACGAGCGGTTTAAAAAGGCTTTGGCTAAGGATTTCCGTCTCTACCTTGTTCATGAATATATTAGAAAAGGCGACTGCCATTTTCGTGCCCATGGCCGCACCATGTGTTTCAAGGTAGTTTTTTCCATTAAACTGGAAAGAATTTTCTTGGAGAATTAGCCTGAGCGCTCGTTTTAGTAGTTGTGTAGGGATAGGAGGTTCGTTTCTATAGAATATTTCGTATGCTCTGCATACCGTGTCTATTCCCTCCTCTTGCGGTATATTTGTATACAAGCTCGTAACGTCCATTGAAACAAGTATGACGTCCGCTGGGACTTTCGTATTTTCTATGAAATTGACGAAGTCGGTACGTGTTGTACTTTGCCCCTTGTGTGGTTCGTACGCGAGGGAATTCGAGTCAACAGACAGTAATCTAGTAAGCAGAATTGTAATAATAACTCATGCATACAATTTGCCCGAGTAGATGTTTTGGACTTTGTTCCTTTTACGATTCCGGTACGTAAAGGAACACAAACTGGTAACAAGAAAATTTGCTCAAACGATTTTGCAACATCTGCAGTTAAATTATCAGAATTATGCTTCTGTTGAACGTTAAGGTTGATAGCCTAACATTTAGTTACTTTCAAGAAAATTGTCAAACCGCCGAAAGTTATATTCTCCTCATCTCATGTTATTCCACTCAACAAAACGATATCTAATTATCAGTTTGTCAACTAGCTTCTTCCAATTTCATTCCTTAACGCTATTGTTTCTTAGTTACGCATCTTCACTAAAGCCCCTGGGTAAATAAAAATACGTCAATTCCAGCTGCGCCCAGCCACCCCCCCCACCTCTCGGCCAGGCTGACCCCCGTTTTCAGCTTTTTTTTGCCTTGGATGGCAAATTCTCGTGGGTGGGGACTCTTGAGCTGTCAAATCCCCCGGGGTGGGGACAAAAAAAAAGGGCAAATGCCCCGTCCTCCGTCAACACTGCAACATTTTTCATTGATTGCACAGTCGAAAAGTGCCGTTTTAAACATTTTGATGTGCGATTTTTTGTTTCGAGTAACATCTTCCTTTGTAATAGCGCTAGGACTCTAATTAAGACGCCGCAACGACACGTACCAGTTTCTGGTTATAATATTGATATAAAATTATTGACATTAGAATTAATAGAACGCTGTAAAGTTATGTGTGATGAATAGGTTATAAATAGGAAAGGATGTTCTTCAAATTGCTTGATATATTGTTGTCCTTGTTTCGATCTGTAACTATCAGATTATTTATCAGTTTTGAAACTATAATTCTCAATACTTTATCTGATTTCTCAGGGGCACCCAACGTCAATTTTCGGAAAATATCTGTTCGGAAGACGATTTGAGATCTAGAATTTTCGGAACATTTGTTGTAAAATTTATTGCTTGCCCGCCTCTCCTAGGATTTTCGAACAACTGAAAAATGGTATAATTGCCCATTTTTAACGAATTTGTACCCTAAAAAGGTCACCTAGAATTTTCGAGAACCTTTTTTCTGGCTGAAATTTTCGAAAAGGTAAGATTTGATCCCTATAATGTGCGGATCATTAGACTTTCAGCTAGGAAATCCGAACAGATGAAAAATTTTTAGGGGATAAAAATATGCCTATATCTACCGTTTAAATACCGGAATACGTTTGACAAAGCCATGTTTAAGTGGTTTTGAACTATATTCTCGTTGGGTGTCCCTGATTTCTCTGCGAACACTTTTTTAAGCATATCGTGTTTGCAAAGAATTCATTTTCAGACCCTGCAAACATTTTTTCCATATTTCTCATTCCCCCTCCGGAACTGAAAACAATGGTCCGTCCCTAAAATAACAGACGACGAATTGGATAAGGGCACAATTACGCAGACGTAGGGTGCTTTTGTCGGTCAAAAACAATGCGGTTAACAAACTTACACAAAAGTAAATAAAAGTCTGAGATACAAGCTTGTTGGCTTAATTAATGATAGCAATCAAGAGCCCATTCTGGCTCTTGTAGCAATATTATATTCTCCATTAGCCTCTGAGCTATAAGGGACAAACCATTAGAAATACACAATCAAATATCATGGCGCCTTTTTTCAGTCTTCTCGAATCTTGCATTTAATACACTTTGAAGGTGTTTATTATTAAAACAAAATTGTATGGAAATTTATTGTTGGAAATTTCCATTTTAAAAATGGTTGACAAAAAATCATGAATCTTAAATTTTTAGGCATTGTTTTAAGCTTCACTTTCTCTACATGAATTTTTTTTTCGATACCATCACCTTTACAATTTTTTTTCAGACAAGTTTCTTTTACGGGATTTTTTCTTCGGGAATTATCACCCCGGTTTAATTGGTAAATAGGTTTTGATTTTATTATATATGTACCTGTTATATTTTCTGAGTTACAGATATATTTATGCGCTTGGACAGTTATATGTTATTTTTGATATCATTAGTACTACCATTATTTTTATTCCTGTTGTAATTTATTTGACAGTGTACATTGATACGTTTTTTGTAATATTGTAAAACGTTTCGAACAGCTAGTGGCAAAGACGGACGCTATAGAAATAAAGTTTATTATTATTGTTTTTATTATTATTATTATTGTTATTATTATTATTACTTCCGGTCATTTCTAATGGCCCGTCTCTTATCACATCGTGCTTTGATGTACCAAGGTTTTCCCCCGTCGCGCGTATCTCTCGCTTTACGTCCCCTCGCTCCTTCGCGTAATTGCGCCTGTTCAGCAGGCTAGACAACAGCTGCCGGATTTTCTCCTGTTTTTATTTAATACTTATAAAAATCTACTTTTAATTGACATCAGAAGCACTTAGCAACCACGCTAGAGAAAGTGTGGTTATCTATTATTTCCAACCGCATGAAACTTTCTCACGCCTCCTCGAGGCGAGAATTTCCTCAGTACATAATTCTTCACACACCAACTAAGAAATTATCGCTGATCACCATACATGGTCACGCTTCATTAATAAACATCCTGAGGGGACAAATGAACTACTGGAAGCACATCATCCCCAAAACACCTGCCAAATCTTGCTTCAATTTTTCTTACCAATAACTTCAAGAGAAACTGAAGTCAAAGAGAACATTGTGAGCTACCACTTCCGTTAATGAACAGAGGCTGAGTTGAATTATTAAGAGGTAAGAAATATTTTATTACATATTTAATGCCTTGGGTAGATTGCAGGTTTTTGAGTCTCACTTACTGTTGAGTTAGCAATTGTTTTTAAAAGCCTGCCAACGCTAAACTCATGCTTCACATTCCAACGGCTGGGTAATTTGGGTGTTATCCGACTTCAGTACTGAGACACTTGATTGCTACAATTACGTACAATGTGTGCCGGTATCTGCTGTTTAATCGTTGGGTTTAATCTTTTGCTCGAGGACAGTCAGTTTTCCGAGGATCTAGCCGTAGCTCAAACATAATTTGCATATAGAACAGGTTTCTGCCATCCAAATAACTTTTGGGGGTTATTTGTATATTTGATTTTCGCTGTTGGTGATTAAAATTGATTACTTACATCGTGTTTTGAATTTCCTCGTATAATTGTTAAGCCTCTAGATTTTTCTGCTATTAACATTCAAAATAACATTTTCTGTTTGCAAAAAACGGAAACATACTGAAAAGATTTTGAATCGCATCCGCACGCTGGTAAAGCATTTTAACAGAGAACCCCAACTCAAATACAAGGAGAATAAATCAGCAGACACACGTAAGATTCCACCTGACTCTTTCTCATTAAGGGTTCAATGACAACATATTGTTCTACATAACTTATATTTTAAAATCTTTGAATCAACGTTATCTTGTGATTTCAGTGGCAAAAATGGCTGGGAAATTTAACGTCAAGTTCTACCCGTTCAATTCTGAAATGGACAGTGTCAGCTTTGAGGAGTCCTTGGATCCTTACTCGGCGTTCCGTAAAGCATCTGAGGACTCCACAGTACCCGATCAACCTCTCTGGGGTATCTTGGTATGGCAGGTCGTCGGCATCTTCCTGCTGGGATTCATATTTGTTTGTGAGTTGTTGTTTTTTTTTAATTAGAGTCACTGTTATTATACCCAGACAGATAAGATGTCATATAGCCATATTTCGTTAAAGGTTTTTTTACATCTTTTTTTTTGTCTGATTTGAATTGTGACCCAGCTGCAAGGCGGTAAGAGCTCTACAAGGCGATGAAATTAGACTTTCAAAAAAGTCGTTCGTCGGATTTAATATGGGGCGAGACGAAGAAAAAGCGCCCTGGGGACGAGATTTCGGTACCCATGGTCCCGAGGATAAACGTTGAAGCGGTGTATGACGAGGACAATTATTTTCCAAAGGAAAACTTCGAATTTTCTAATGGTTCGTTTTAATCCAACTTCCCTGTTTTTTCAATAAGGGTGTTTTCTATTACCTATATGTTTGCTCTGCATTATAGCGGGGCTCCCACGCGCGCGAAGCGCGCGTGGGACAGAGCCCCATACCCATAGATTATGGTCAACCTCTTTTCCTTTGGTTGTCACGTGATTGACCGAGCATACGTACGTACGCGTCTACGGATTGTACAGGTGGGGTAGGGGAGACTATCAAAAGGAAGGGAGGGGCGTCTCAGGCGTGTCTTGCCAAGTCCACATCTTTTACATTGGACATTCACAATATGGTCAATTGATAGCTGTCAAAACAGGATAGCCACTGACCAGTGACCAGTGACCATATCGCGGGCTCATGTGTCAACTCATTGAGGTGACGTGGTTTATTTGGAAGCTGTCCGCTGACCAGTTAATTATTTTACTAGATCGCGATCAATGTTCAGTCTCATACTTTCTAGCTAGTTTGGGATCGGAGCACAGGAAAACTGATACACGTCAATGTTGTGATCCATTGACAGCTGTCAAAACAAGGTATCCGCTGACCAGTATCACTTGACTGTATCGCGGGCTCAGGTGTCGACCCATCGAGGTCAAGTGTTTTTTTTAAGTTATCCGCTGATAAGGTACTGGTTTTCAAATGATCGCATGCTCAAGTGGACAGAATTGTGCCACTTGTCCATACATTACTAACAGCCTTACAAGTTATACCTTTTACGCTAAAAATGAAAAACGCTCCATCACTCAAAAATGTTATCTACATGGTTCAATGTAACCGTTGTAATTTGCAATATATAGGTGAAACTAAGCGACGTCTCAAGGACAGATTTAACGAACACAGACGTGCAGTCGACAAAACTAACATTAAATCTAAACCCACTACTGTTTCTGAACACTTTCTCTCTCACTCTAACCATTCTCATACTGACATGCAGTTAATCCCACCAGAGAAAATTCATTCTTCACGTGACTCAGTTCGTAAGGCCAGGGAGTCGCATTTGATAGATAAGGCCATGACTCTTGAACCTCATGGCCTAAACCGCCGTGACGAATTATTGTAATCCATATCCTTAGTATTTTTCCTTTCCAGTTTTTATGTTGTACGTCATTTCCGCCTCTCCCTTTTATTGCGACATTCTCCATCTATATAATATTGTGATTGCTATATAAGTTCAGTAACATCTGTAAACCTGAAGAAGGCTGGTATGGCCAGCCGAAATATTGTTATAAAAAACAATACACGTTGTTTTAAATCACTTTTGCTGTAGTCTTCGGACTTCTCGTTCTTGTTTTTTTATACTTAGTTTGTTCATTTACCTTTAAATTCCCGGTAGTAGCCAGTAAATTTTTCTTGAGATATAGAGGTGGAATTTTTTTGTAATGCCAGGAGCCCATCATGGGCTCCTGGTAATGCCCTGTACCTTAAGGCCGCCTCAAAAATTCCAAAATATTCCGGGAATTGCTGGGAATTCAATACATTTTTTCTTTACATCATGTAAATAAACCTGGCAAGTTTCAGCGCGGTATTATAAATCGTCATCTTTTTACATCGATTTGTTTTCAGTGCGGTCAAACAAAGCCGCAAAATTGCCCTTAATTCGCCGCTAATTTTCGTCGCGCTGCGCTGTTTTCTTCGTCGCCATCTTGAATTCGTACGAGTAAACCGC